ACAGTAATAACAAGCTATTAAGTTATGAATAAATGAAATAATATTATATAAAATTCTAAAATCTCATTATAAAAACTCTTGTTTTCTAATTTATATTAACTAATTGATTAATTATAAGTTATAATAACCATAACGAAATGGTAACTAAAATCTTATGTTTTATTCACTCTTGAATTGACATTTTTACTGCTTTTCAAATTTGATAAAAGTTAGTATTCAAAACACATGTTTTAAATAAAAAAAAGGGAAACAAATACCGTAATTGAAATTAAATGTATATTTTATTTCATAATATGATTGTTTGGGTGAAGGACTTCTCCATTGATATACTGAGCGGAACTCTTATGGATTTCACAAACATTGGAAACCAATATAAAGTTTTTTAACACTTTTTGACAATTATTACACCCGTTATTACTACTAATATAACAATCTAATCGTTTATGAAAGCAAATAATTGAATAATTGATCAAATATGCGAAATAAATTGAATTAGTGGTCAAATAAATAAATTATTATCACTAATAGAATCGATGATTTCCGATACCTAAAGATACCTAAAGATACCTAAAGATACCTAAAGATACCTAAACAATAACAATGAGAGTTAAGCAGCAATTAGTCATTTCCTCAATTTGTTGCTCTAAATATGAAAACTTTTTAATGTATTTTGTATTTATATAATATATGAATGGCAACAAAGTTTTTATTTTCATATTTTAAAAGCAAAAGTCTTTTTGCAACTCAAACGTGCAATTTTAATAGTAGTTAAGCAAACAGTTGTTAATTATTTTGTTGGCAAATTTTTCCAATACTAAACGCTCACTTGAAAAGTTTGGAAACTACTGTCAACTTTGTGCTTAAAGTCTTATCTGATGTTTGTTTCGCAATTTTTTACTAAAATTATTTAATAAAAAATAATTGTTTGTTTTTTAAATATTTTGTTTAATAAACTACTTTCAAAATTATATAATCGATAAGAAATAATAATTTTTATTCACTAAATAATTTATGGCAAACTTCAGTGTAGTTTAAATGTTGACAGTAAATGTATCGATGAGATAATACTAATGTAAACTATAGAAATGTCTTTATTTCTTATAAAGATTGTGTTATTTCTATCAATTTTTCAAACAAACATATTCAACATCAACTCATTTGATCGTTTCGATGATTGCGGTTAGTATTGATAACTAATTGACAATTGTTTTCACTTAATAACTGATAAAATATGATAATATAACCTAGAATTCAATGATTGTTCGAGAGGTGCAATGTTTGGAAAATGTATGCATCAAACAAAGTTTACTCCGAAACAGTTAGAAAAAGTTAAAAATTACATTCAAAGTCGCTTTTCAACGACAAACCCATTGAAGCCTCCCTGTAAGACACTACGGGTCCGCAAAGACATCAAATGTCTATCCAAACGGGAATTATCTGATCTGATCCATGTGTTCAAACAATTATACGCCAATGGAGTGATGGATATGTATTCATTAGTTCACGGGTCNCCTCCCTGTAAGACACTACGGGTCCGCAAAGACATCAAATGTCTATCCAAACGGGAATTATCTGATCTGATCCATGTGTTCAAACAATTATACGCCAATGGAGTGATGGATATGTATTCATTAGTTCACGGGTCCTATTGGTCGTCAATTCATAAGTTTAGTGAAGCGGTTCCGTGGCATCGATGGCATATCAATGAGTTTGAAAAGGAGATGAGAAAAATCAACCCCAAGATTACACTTCCTTATTGGGTATGTGCTCTGAATTTCTTAAAAATTTAATTAGAGATTAAAATAAAAATGATATGAATTTCAGGAATATATCACTGATTTCGGTGCCCCTGAAAAGAGTTCAATTTGGCGGACCTTTGGAAGGGCCGGTAACCGATATAATGGTTATTGTGTACCCGACGGTGCCTTTGCCTACCAAATGGTTGAAAACCCAGAACCTCATTGTATTAGACGGCAATGGAATCTCAACAAAACAATGCCTGTTTGGGAACCACCCGAATGGGTCACATCACTCACACAAACATCCAAGACTTGGCCACAATTTGCCCAACTATTGGGATATTCGGCTCATTTTAAGACACATTTATATGTCGGCGGTTACGAGGGAGAGATGAGTGATATTTATGCCACTAATGAGTAAGTATTTTAGACTAAATTAACTTTTAAATATCACTCACAGTGTTATGGTTTATGTGCATTCAGTCCTGTATTCTACATATTTCACGCTCACGTCGCCGACTATGCGATACTTAAATGGCAATTAGCCGACGACCAGAACCTGCTTCCTATTACTTATAACCAGGGATTGAGATACGACTGGGAAAGGGATGAGATACTGAGGGCTGATATTGAAAGCGATTACTTGACTTATTATGACAATGCGAGGGTTAAAGAGATTTTTGAGATTGGATTTGGAGATATGTGTTATATTCACGACCAGTTAGTGCAACCAATACTTGATATAATGGCTAATAAACGACCGAAAGTACCCAATATTGCCATCAATTTAATGAAATCTCTACCGAGCGATGTATTTGAATACTATTTCCCAAAGTTTGCCTCAAAAACGGCAACATTTTTCGACTATTTCCTACCGGATGTGCAAAGCGGTCATAACTTTAACCATAAGTCGGCATTTTGTGATGAAATGCCCGTCGCTTTGACTTTTAACTCAACGCCAAATGGGAGACGACTTCTGGATGTGTTCCGTACGGAAGCCTCCATTGATGTGACGCCCGATGCCTTCAACGCCGAACAGCAATACTATCAGTTCATCGAAGACCTCAACAAATATAAGTACTGTTCCCCATATCTTATCACTTAACATCATTTTGTATTATATTTATAAAACATTAATTTGTTGTAAATACTATATTCAAGTTAATATATAATTATTAAAGTTTTAAATATTTGTTAAATGATTGAATATTCATATTATGTTATCTACTAAACTGAAAGGTCGTTCAAAACATTTAAAGTAAATGTTAACTAGTATTTTTATAAATAAAACTATATTTAAATTATTTTGACAAACGCTTGAATGAGTGAATTAATAATTGTATCAATTATCAACATATAGCCAAAGTATTGCTATATTCGTGTATTTTCAAAATACGGGAAGTTTTCCGCAAATGAATTAAGATTATTGCATATATACTGTATATATTCATTGAAGACATGTTCACTAAAATAACATTTTTGAAAACTATTTATTACTGTATTTGTTATTATATTTAGTGTTTATTTTCAATCGCAATTATTTTATTTGAAAAACCACTAAGAAATTTTAACTTTTGCAAATTATATTTACGGTAAGTATTATGCAAAAAATAAATGTTAAAAAGAAAGTCATTTCAAATAAATTATGACAATAATGCATAACTGATGAATTGTAGTTGATTTTAAAATCCTTTGTATAACATACTTTAATATGTTAAAAATAAGATCTAGTTATTTATCAATTTAACATTATTTAAAATTGATTTTTTCTTTGAATAAATTAAAATAATATTAATAAATATTTCCCA